TTATTTGCGTCGATGGCAATCATTAAGAAGGAGACCTTAGCTTCACGAGGGAATGTAAAAAATAATAATTCGATGGGAAAAGAGATATGGAGTTCGATTACTCTTAAGCACTTATTGGCCGACTGTATGTGTACGCATGTGCGTGTGCGCGCGGGTGTATGTGTATGTGTTTATATGTGTATGTGTTTATATGTGTGTGTTTATATGTGTATGTGTTTATATGTGTATGTGTTTGTATGAGTGTGGTTCTGTTTGTATATATTGGTGGTGTTTTATGTGTATGTGTGTACGTATATGTCTTCAAATGTGTTTAGAGTTAATGGTCATGTGGAAACGTACCCTTGATATACAGAAAATGCAAATAACGTGCAGTTCAGTGAGCTTTGCGAAGTCTAGCTTCGCCCGGGCCTTTACCTACGTGTAGCCCGAGAATAACGTGCGTATTACCTGAACTTTATAACAGACCAGACCTCCATACCCGACTGAACAACTTTTCCATCAAAATATCACCCTTCACAACAAAGTATCGAACAGTGAGTCACAGAGAACCAGAATGAAAATCACCGCCATTCAATATAGATATATATCCTGCATCACCACAGCAGAGGAACTGAGCAGCGGTATCATGTTTCAGAAACGTCACGACCCGGCGATATGTCTCGGCTTAATGCCTGACGCAACGATACACCCCGTGTCATTTGCCCTCATCTTGTTTACATTATTACACGCTGAATATCAATACATAACGCATGAATGTACAACATGCAATAATATTTCCGAAGGTTTGGGAACTTTAAACATTTGTACAATAATGGTCCCAATTTATTCGGACAAAATTCATTGCAACATTTAACCCCTGGTTGGTTTTCGACCAAAGGGGCCAAAAATTCAGCGTTTGAAATGTTTTTCGATTCTATTGGAAAATTTGCCGGGGTAAAGTTTCCATCCAGGTGTCCTATAATAACGCGCCGCCCGCTGCAACAGGGTATTAGGAACCGGCTGGACCGCAATTAGGGAAATCTGTTTCTCTATCAGCAGCAGGCGGGGTTTGCCCCAGAGCATTTGCACGATGCCCTGGTACAACGTAAAGTAAGGTGTTGCTTGCGTAAGAGCAAGGGGAGCACAAAACAGATGAAGTATGGAAAAAATTATGCCTCTTGTTGCTTGTGGTAATATACCTAGAGTCGCTCACACTCACTCGCTCTCTCTCCTTGTTAAACAATGTTTTTGATACATATCAGGGTGCGTGGTGTATGCGTATTATATAGCTCTCGAATATCTTATTAATCTATCTGTCCCTATTCAATCTAATCTATCTTTCTATATCTACTATGGGTTATCCTATCTCACTCTGGTTCCTAGTATGATAAGAGGTTGTTATTGTATTGTAGCAATGTTTTTCAATATCAATTTTTTATACACACGTTATTTTTAGTTCCTGTTTTTTTTCTGCGGGGTAATTTGCGAGGTTTGTAAATGCTCATGAATTTTATCCATTTATACGAATTTTTCCGTTTTTATTTATAAAAAACAGATATTTCAATACGCCACTAGACAACCAGACCAATCTACACAACACACACCACAACAGAGTGATCACACACACAATACACATACATCACACATCACACACAACACACACAACAACACACAACAAACACACACACACACCACATGCAACACACACACAGCAAGTCACACATAATTATGTCCTGAACACACACACACACATATAATATATATATATATATCTATATATATATTAATATATATACTAATATATATTTATATATATATTATAGCACAAGTGAAACTCGTAAATTCCATGTCTGTGTTTTGACTAAATTGGTGGAAGGGTATGAAATGAATACGAATATCTTAACGCACAATACAAGAAGGTAATTTCTAAAACACGGTTTTTTCCGTTCAGAAAATACACATACCTTTTTCCATATATATATATATATATATATATTATAAATATATATATATATATATAATATATATATATATATATATTATAAGTACCTAGTGGTAATATATAGGATAATATATATATGTATATATGTTGTGGTTGTTTGTGGTGGGTGGTTGGTGGTGTGGTGGTGGGTGTGTGTGGTGGTGTGTGTGTGTGTAGGGTTGGTGTTGTGTGTGTGGGTTGTGTCGTGTGTGGTGGCGTTGGTGGCTGTGTGTGGTTTGTGTGTTGTGTGGTGTGGTGGCTGTTTGCTGTGGTGTTGGTGTTTGTGTGTGTGTTTGTGTTGTGGTTGTGTGTGGTGGTTGTGGTGTGTAATGTGTTGGGTGTGTGTGTGGTGTGTGTGTTGGTATGTGGTGTGTGTGGTGTTTTGGTGTGCTGGTGTGGTCTTGATTTGTCTGTGCGGTATAAAAATTTGTTTGTTTTTTAATTAGATACGAAACGGGATTTGTATAAATGGATTTAAATCGATGAGATAACAAACAATCGCAATTGCCAAACAGAAAATAAAAAGAAGTTTCAGAAAAATGATATGAACAACAAATTTCCTAAAAAACTTTACAAGCCACTTTCATTTTCTCTTTAAAACAAAATCACAAATTATAACATAGAGAAAGAATCAATCCACCTAAGTCCTGATCACGGTTGACCTTTATAATCTCTGTTTTCTGTTTCTTTCTTTTTTCCTTCTCTCTTTCTTTCTTTCTTTTCCAATTTTATGTTTTCCCCCTAAATATCACAGCAAAAATCAGGTCCGTAAATGGTTTAACCAATCCGGCTGTTCGGCAAAAAATCAAAACATAGCAAATAATTGATATGGAAGTGCTGTTTACCGAGGTTGGTTCGTGCATGTAATCCCAGAATAACTGAATTAGATAACCAATCACTGGTCATGTTTTGCGCTGCAATTAGACCATTCCAGTTATCTAACAGACTCCGTTATAAAACATCAGCTGGACGGTCCCCTTCTTCCTTTTTTTTTTTTCTTTTTTCGGGTAGGGATTCTGCTTTCCTTTTTTTTTTTCTTTTTTGTGTTTTTTTTTCTTTGTCTTCGCCCTGAGGAGAATGGATTATACAACTACCCTCTTTGCTACAATGTCATTCATCTCGCGATTGATGTAGTCTAAAGGATAACGAGTATGGTGCCAACTTTTGGAGAAACCTTCGTCCATTGTTGTCCTCCCCCTCCCACTTCCGGGTCCACTCGTTTCTTGTGTTGTTATTTCTTGGCTGCTCAATTAGACCCTTCCTCCCCTCTCCCCTCTCTCTTTCTTTATTCTTCTCTCTCTCTTTCTCTTCTCGTATTGCTTTCTCTCTCTCTCCTGTCCTCTCTATCCTTATCTGCTCTCTCTCTCCTCTTCTCCTCTCTCCTTCTCTCTCTCTCTCTTCCTCTCTCTCTTCTCTCTCTCTCTCTTCTCTCTCTCTCTCTCTCTTACTCCTCGCTCTCTCTCTTCTCTCCCTAATTCTTCCACCCCCCCCCCTGAAATGCGCTTTCCAGTCTCGAACCAGTTATTTAACCCACTTACCACCTACCCCCCCTATCCCTCCTCCTCCTCCTCTCCTACCTTCCTCCTCTCCAATCGAAAAAATAGGAAAGAGCAAAACATAAATGAAAACAGAATTCGTTCGTCACTCTCATTAACCCAAATCGTATTGGTACGATCTAACGCTTAAATGAGTCGATTCGTATTCATACATTAACCGTGCAGTTGGCAAATGGCCGTCATTTTTGTGCCTAATCACCCCCATATGTTTGAGGTAATTGACACCGCACTCATGACACTTTTGCCCTTATCAAACGGGGAAGTGCCGATAAAATTTAAGTTACATTTCTGTGAGTCATCTCAAAAACTCAAGAACGGAGAGGAAAAGGGTTGGTAAAGAAAAAGAAGGAACTAATAGTTTAGATTGATAATTAGATCCGAGAGACATCGACGAGAGGGATGGAGAAATAGATAAGATAGACTAGACAAATTGACTCATTTTAGACAGTAGGGACAGATAGAGGGGCACACAGGAGAGATTAGACAGACAGTCAAAGGAACGGAGGAGGAGAGATAGACTTGATAGAGGTAGAGAGAGACGAGAAGAAGACGAGAAAGATAGACAGACCAAATAGGACAGAGAGAGAAAGAGAAAGAGGCAAAGGGAGAGCACGAGAGGCAAATAGATACGAGACAGAGTACAAAGACATACGCGGGGGGGAGCAAAAGAGAGGGAGAGAGAATTAAGAACGAGAGACCAAGACAGGAGACAGAGAGAAAAGAGAGAACCCGCGGAGGAAACCCCGGAGGAAAAGCGTGCAAAAAATAATGCAATAATATTTGCGACTGCATTCGTGGCCGTGCGTCGTCCGTCTCTCCGTTTCGCTGTGTTACTTAGTCTCTCCTTCTCTCACATGTCCGAAGACAATATAGCTGCGTTTACGAGCAATATCGACTGAATTACACTAGCTCTCGTGAGGAGCTTCAAAATACCCTGTTCCTCCCTTCTTTCCCTATCTCTTCCCCTCTACCGCCCCCCCCCGAGACCTTCTTCCCTTTCCGCTCGCCTTCCCTGCTTCTTTCTTTCGTTCCTTCGTCCTCTCGCTTTTGTCGCACTCCTTTTCTCTTTTCTCCTCCTTTCCCTTATTCTTTGCTCCTCTCTTTCCTTCTTCCCCTATGCCTCTTTCATCTTTCTTCCTCCCTTCCCCTTTTCCTTCTTTTCTCCATCCCTTCCCCTCTCCTCCTTTTCTATCCCATCTCCCACTCCCCGTTTACCTATTTTCTCCATCCTTTCCTTCTCTACCTTCCTCTCTCCTTCCTCTATTCCCTCTTCTCCTCCTTCCTCCATTCCTTCCCATTTTTCCCTTTTCTCATCCCTCCCCTTCCCCTTTTTTTCTTTTCTCCATCCCTTCCTCTCTGCCTCCTTCTCTCCCCTTTCCCGGTCCTTCCTCCATCCCTTCCTGCCTGCCCATCTCCACCCCCTTTCCTTTCCCTCCTTTAACCCCCTCCTCTTGTTTCGTCCTTCTTCGTCCCTTCCTCTTCCCTCTTCCCATCCTCCCCCCCCCCCCTTCCTCCCCTGCCCCTCCCTACTCCTCGGCAACCACTTATATCTGACCAGGTGAACTACAATCAGGGACATCGTGCAAATTAATTACTTTGAATAATTAATTGATCAGGTCCGTATCCTGAGCCGGATCATTAAACTGGTGATATATTTCGGAATGTCTTCCTTATTATTACAGTAAAGGTTAAGTGGACGGAATGGACGCGGGCTTTGGGGGGGGGGGAGGGTAGGGAGAAGTAGGGTGGGTGGTGGTGGGTGGGAGGAGGGGATTAGTAGGGGGATGTAGGGGCGAGATGAGGAGGGGTAGGGTGATTTAGGCAAAGGAAGGAGTATTCGTCTAATCTTGGAGTTCGTCTTCCTCTGAATATGGTTAAGCTTCGGGGAGTCTAAAAAAATTTCTTCACTTATCCTTTTGTTTTGTCTAAGATCTTGTTATTTACTCTCAATCTAATTTTTTGCTTCTTTCAGATGACTTTTTCTAATTTGATTTTCAACTATACACCAATTTAGCAAAATATGGAAAAAAAGGAGCTGAAAGTCGACGGATCGCTAGAATACACTGACGAAAGCTGATAGACGTCTTCGAGAGTGTTGCCTTAAAACCACGTGTATAAGTGCGTGAAAGAATATACAGTAAATGCAGAACGAGTAGGCAGAATTTTTTGAATAAGATTAGCAATTTAATTTGCGGCAAAATTACGATAAATATCAAAGGCAGTATAATCTGATTGTATAGATGAATCAACATGGTAGAATACATAATACCACAAAAACAGGTAAACCAGACCATAAAACATCGCAGAAGATGCACACACAAAATCGCATCAATCAATGAGCATGCCAAATACGGTGAACAGAACAAGTATTAGTTGGTCATCCCGGAAAAGCCAAATATATATGCTCCGAATAGGGAAGCACAGCAATGAGTTTTGAGAGTGCAGAGGCAACACCCACGGATGTGCAGGCAGATTCACAATGCACAGACGACTAGTCGGACAACAGGGAAAATTCTTTTTTCTTGGAAGAGAGGCCGTTGCCTAACTGATTGGCTGTTCACGTCATCTGGGACTGGTTTCGCACCAAAGCTCGTGAGTGTGACGGTGAGAAGGGGCGCTCGGAGGCAGAAACAGGACTAATATATAGAGGAAGGAATCCTAATTTCGAACAGGAAATGCAGTCACAATCAGGTATGAACACTAGCTATAAATGTGAGGATGATTTATGCGCAGAAGTTCACACGCATTTGGCAGTGATAAAAGTTCCACGTCTCTTATTTACGCTGATCTCTCCTCTCTCTCTTCATCTCTGCTTCTCTCTCTCTTCTCTCTCTCGTCTCTCTCATCTCTCTCTCTCTCTCTCTCTCTCTCATCTCTCTCTTCTCTCCTCTTCCTCCTCTCCGTCGTCTCTTCTGCTCCCTCCTCTCCTCTCTCTCTCTCTCTCTCTCTCTCTCTCCTCTCCTCTCCCTCTCACTCGTCTCTCTCTCTCCTCTCTCTCTCTCTCTCCTCTTCCTCTCTTCTTCCCTCTCTCCTCTCTCCTCTTCCTCTCTCTCTCCCTCTCTCTCTCTCT